CTATTTCTCTCTATCTCTCTCTCTCTCTCTCCCTCCCTCATCTCTCTCTCTGACTCTCTCTGTCTTTCTCTGTCTCTCTCTGTCTCTGTCTCTCACTCTCTCTCTTTCTCACACACATACACACATACACACACACATACACACTCACACACGCACGCACACAGAATCAAAGCCACAATGGTAGTTTCTAAGCAAAAGCATTCAGTAATGAAACTAGAGTGGATTCTGGCTAAAAAATAAATAAGCTATAAAAGACATTCCTGGCACAACTGGAACATTTGAATACAGACAGAATGTTAGATGACATAGAAATCAGGCTAATCTGCTTAGGTGCAGGAAGGGTGCTGTGCGTGTGAGACATTGGCCTCGCTGAGAAATGTATGCTGAAGTACTTGGGGATAAAGTGTCATGGGGTCTAGAAATTAATTTCAAATAGCAAGAGAGACAGATAGATGATAGACAGATAGACCAACAGATAATACAAATATGGCAAAATGTTTACAAATTGTTGAATCAAAGTCCAGGGTTTATTGGCCTATTTTTTAAACTTTTTTTTTTTATGTTTGAAAATTTTGATAATAAGAGACAGGGATAAAAAAATCATAAAGAAAGAATTAGCCACAAAAAAAATTCTAAAACCCTGCAGTTTTTCATAACAATGCTGAGTGGCACACAGATTTAGTATGAACATAAATAAGAAAAGTAGAGGAATATTGGAGGGGGCCTTTCTGCAGACAATAAGCTACATTATTCATTATGCTCTGGTTGTATAATTAAAGGAACTATAATTCAGAGAGATTAAAGGCGGTTACCTAAAGTCATGTGACATGTGACAGAGCCAGGACGAAGCCCAGATCTTCTACTTTCAAATCCTGTGCTCTCTTCTTGACATCGTCTACCTTACTGTGGCTTCTCCCAGAAGGAGACCTTGAGACAGGGATTCGGCTGCAGTGGGTGCCTTTGGAAGGTTCCGGTACCAGTAGTAGAGGGGTGGGAAAGTGACACAGCAGGGGGAGGGCGGCCTGTCAGAAGTGCGTATTGAGCCGGCACCTGCAGTGGGCAACTGGAGCTTAATCCCACAGGAAAAATCTGAAAAATGAAATAAAGCACATGTCTCATCATTGTCCCACCCAGTGGGTGAGGGAGCTGGGCTGTTTATGCCCCAGTTACCAAGAGTCCTTGTCTGTGGGATTCTTCCAGGAGTGTTCAGTCCACAGCACTTCTGGCCCGCTGCAATTCTGAAAAAACATCCTCAGACATCCGAGCAGAGGTAGGGTGGCCCAGGCACTCTGACTCAGTTATCCTGGAGGGGTGTGAATAACAGACTGTCAGTGTCTGCTAGTCCATGCTCTAGGGGAGCCCAGCCTCAGCTGTGGCCTTCCCCTCCTTACCAACCAAGCATAAGAAGTAGAGTTCATCTCATACTCCAGCACCATCCAGGGAGACCCAGCCACTACGTAGCATAAGGTAAGATTTAAAGGCACCCATTCATTCAGATGAAGCCATATCTGGGAATTACACTCTCAGAGCAGTGGCAGCAGCTCCTGCCCCAGGGGGTGTGGATTCACAGACACACACGCACACACAACCAGCATTGCTGGTTTTGAAGTAACTTCAAGCCACATAAAGCTAAGAATAAACCACTCAGAAGAAGTTCAACAGCTGTTTACTGGAGTGCAAAAGCAAATGAATGGGGCTCATCATACATTCAGACACCACATCAAGTCCCTCATTACACTCACTTAGGGTTTGAAGACAACCCAGAGATGGGTAACAAGCTGGAATGAATATGGGACCCAGTGGCCTGATCCAGCATCCCTTTCACATCTCATTACTCATGCTGCAGGCAGTGCTCTGAACAATCAGACATATCCAACCAAAAATTGCTTACAAATGGGAAAATACTGAGCAACAATGAGTTATTTAAAGTCTGTTTTTATATTTTACAGCCATTATAGTTCCAGTAACAACACAAAATATTTCACTCACAATTTTGCAACCACCAATAAATCAGGCTGCTGTCATTTTCCATGTCTCCTTCCAGAGAAAATAAAAGTCTCAGGGAACTAAACTGTAAAGAGAATACATGTTAGAATGGGGCAGAGAGAAGCAGGTCACCCAAAGGAGTTGGGATATTCACATGCTTTGGAGAGGAACTGGTCAACCTTAGAAGTGCTGACAATGGACAGTGGCAAAATCGAGCCCCAGCCACTCTGACCAGCATCCTCTTGGGAGATGTAGAGCTTTAGTCGGTAGGTTTTCAGTGTTTCCCATTCTGCTGGCAAGACAGTTTCTATGATAAAATCAGGCTGTCTTGGCTGGATACTATTAGATACACAATTTCTCCATCTTTGCCAACAACCTTATGACTCCCTGTAAATCTGCCACACAAGGATAATGCTCCAGTCCCCTGACTTTGACTATTGCTGATCCCCATCTTAATGATGGCTTGTGAGAAACCAAGATAGTCTTTCTTTTTTTTTTTTTTTTTTGCTAGCAATTATATGGGAATATGTGTCCCACATCGTTCTAATACTAAGTAAGTAGATCTACTAGTTTTAATCTTCATGATGGCTCTAGGAACTATAGATGTTGTTACGGCCCTGTTTTGCCCCCATTTTGCAGATGCATAATGGAGAGCATCCGTAAGTTATCTAATGGCACATGGCTAATGAAGAGACAGTGTCAAATTGTGAACCCAGACAGCCTGGCATCAGAGCTCATGCTCTAAATCACCATGCTGCCCTGCCTCTCTTGTTAGGTTTAGGTTTTTTGCGGGAGGCAGTGCTTAGTGATAACATATACATAACATAAAATTTAGCATCTTAACCCTTTTTTAGTATACAACTCAGTGACATTAAGTACATTCACTCTGTTGTGCAACCATCTATCTTCAGAACTTTACCATTATCCCAAACTAAAACTCTGTACCTATTAAAAAATAACTCCCCATTCCTTCTACCCCACAGCCACTGGTAGCCTCTATTCTACTTTCTATCTCTATGAATTTACCTATTCTTGGTACTTCATATAAGTGGAATCCTACAGTATTTGTCCTTTTGTGTCTGTTTTATTTTAACTTGCATAATGTTTTCAAGGTTCATCCATGTTGTAGCATGTATCAGAATGCCATTCCTTCTTAAAGCTAAATAGTATTCCATTGCATGTATATGTCACATTTTGTTTGTCCATCCATCCATTGATGAACATTTGGGTTGTTTCTCTCATTAGGGTTTGATGCTTCCTATAATTTTATCCCATATTGTGGCTGCTGGTTCTGCCTTGGCTCCCTCTGCTCTTTGCCTCTGGGGAGAGAAAGCATCATAGTGCTGAAACAGTATCTCTGTTCCGCATGATATTTGTATTTCTCTTAGTAGGTCAATACATTGGCACTCTAGTGTCTACCTCAGGCTTCTGTTATTTCTGAGTAAGGACAGACTCAGAGGGCCTGACACCTCAGGATATTGATAAGACTGGGTGTCTAGGTCTTGAAACTGGGGATCCACAAAGTCTACACTGAGACAAGCAGATATATAGTTCCAGATGCATGGATTCCCCATGACTGACAGGTACATGCATCCTTTGTGGGCAGCTTTTTCTGTGTATCACATTCATTTCCGCAAGTGCAACAGATTCTTTGTATAGCAGCTAAGTAGCTGCTATTTGTTCAATACTTATCATATGTCAGGTACCATGCTAGGTGCTTTTCAAATATTCTCTCATTTCTGACAGCAAGTCTGCAAGAATAAATGTTATTACTCCCATTTAACAGATGAGAGGATAAATAATTTTTCAAGATCACACAGCTAGTATCAGATGGCTACATGCTATTTTATTAGGTAGGTGTACCACACTTAACTGTTGACTATTTTCATTCAGTACTTGTTTCTGTGACTTTAAGTAATCCTATAAGGGACATCTTTATGCACATAGTTTTATATTTCTTTGGTGTTAATTCCTTGGGATGTATTTCCAGAAGTACCACTACTGATTCAAACAGTCTGAATATTTTCATGGCTCTTGATTGCTAAAATATTTTCCAAAAAGCTAACAAGGATGGCCATTCCAAGATTTCATGCCACTGGTCCAGTGTTAGTGAAATTGCAAATCAAGGAGGCAAATTGTGAAGCCTTCCTATTTCTGCTCTCTGTTTGTTTTGTTTTCATCCAACATCCTCAATTCCGACCCTAGAACTGCCAGTTAGTCCCACTGCACCGAGTCTTGCCTTCCTCTGTAACTCCTTCTACCCCAAAGACATTCTTTCCCCTGCCTCCCTCTTCTCCCTAACACCCACCCGCCCTCACTTTCAGCAAGCCTCCTTTCTTTGTCAGGCTCATAACTGTTACAAAGAAAGGAGCCTTCAGAATTAATTCACACCAAGCTATTAAGAGTGATTACAACACCCAGTGGTAATTTGTAATTTGTTTTTAAGATATGGTGCCTGGGGAATTTGTTTTAAGGAATAGCGAGACAGCTGCTCAGAGCGGTGTACATGAGGATGTTCGAAGAGGTACTGTTGACAACAGCAGCTGGTTAAGCAATGTAAATATTCCAACAATACTGGGTTGTTAAATAAATTATGATAAGCCGTACAAAAGAATACCGTAGCACCATTAAAAATGATGATATAGATATGTGCTATTGACTAGAAATGGTAGTATTAAAGGGGGGGGGGTCAAATTACACAACATTTAATATAATAACAATTTGAAAAAGGAAGTAAATATAGATACATATATGTATGTAAGTGTGTATATGTATGTGTTAAATAAATCTATTTGTGTATTTATAATATCATATATATTATTAAAAAACAACAACAACAACAACAACCCTGGAAGAATAAACACCAAAATGTTTTCTTAGGCGAGGGGCAGTATGGAAGATTTTTTTTCTTTTTAACTTAAACCTATCTCTAGTTAACACGTATGACTTATGTCATCTTTTTAAAAATTTTTCTTGGGAGGGTGGTGGTTAAAGTTGGTGCTGCCTTGGGAAGAATGAGCATGTAAGGGCATATTTCAAATGACGTGGCAGATGGGTGGAAGAGAGGGTGGGGGCTGGGAGCTTGGGACCCTCCAATCCACAGCGCTGACATTGGCTACTCCACCTTTTCCTCAGCCTGGCCTCTCCCCAGTGTGTGTAGAAGGAAATAAATGGCTCACGTTAATTTGCCCCTCTCTGACTGGCTATAAAAAGCAAGTTGATTTAGGATTTCATGAATCCCTACCTACTCTAACATATGTTGAACATTTCTGTTGTGTGCTTTTGTTAAAAATGCTTTTTAAATGAGGCTGGTGCCCATATGCCCCAGGAACCTAAAATGTGGCTAGGTAGTCTGGCACAAGTCATGTTTCTTTAATTCACTTCCATGAGTTTCTAATGAGCTCAGTTAACTACAGCAGAGTTTTCTAATCTCAACCATGTTGCAAACTGGAGAATGATGGGAAAGGTGGAAGTCTTACAGAGCTTATCAATTTACTAAGCACTTGTCTTAAACATGGTTTCGGTTTCAGCTTTTTGTTTTCTTTTTTTCCTTTTATAACCTGTTCTAGAGCATGATGAGCATTGGAACAGAGGCCGTTTAGCATAATATTAAGAACCTGGGTCCAAAGTTGACTGAGCTGGGTTTGAATTTCAGCCCTGAAACTCACTAGCTGGGTAATCTTGAACATTTTGTTCAATTTATTTTGCCGTTTCCCCATTTGTAAAATGGAAGTAATAAAGCCTTGTCTAATAGAGACATCATAAGGAATGATTAAGATAGTGCCTGGAAAAAAACTAGCCATAGTCCCTGGCTCTTAGTAAGAGCTCAATAGATATTACTGTTCTTGCTCTAGTTATCGACTTATTAACAAGGAATTGCACCACAGTGAGTGAGTATGTGACAGAGGAATGCCAGGGTCTTGTAGTAAGACATGCCAGGGGCACTTCCCACAGACGTGAGAGAGCCGGGGAACACTTGCAGGGAAAAATGACATCAAAGAGGGGATCTGAAGAATTAGTAGAAGACGTCACGTCAAGGGAAGGGGCATGTGCAGGAGAAAGGATAAAGATCACAGGAGTGTAAATGTTAACACAGCAGGAACTGCATGTTCCTGAACTTATGTTCATTTACATCCTTGCAACAATATAACGAAGCAGACATTATTATTCCCCATTTGACCAAGAAGAACACTGCCACAGAGAGGTTAATTCATTTTCCCTTTATCACACAGCTGGTAAGTGATAGCAACATTCTGCCTCTGTATGAAGAATATTTCTGTAGCGTCTCATTGGTGGTGGCCCTTGCCCAGCAATCACCTTCATTTAAGAAGCATGGACTGGGTCAGCCTCTGACAACATAAACATGATTAAGATATGGTCACTGTCCTTAGAAAGTCCAAAGCCTGACAAAGGAGAAAAAAATTTTGATAAGCCATAATGCCAGACAGACTCTAATAAGTAATAAAAAATTAAGAAAGTCTTCACAGACTTCAAATATAAACCCACTTGAGAGAGAAGGAAGATTTTGATAGTTAGAGAGTGGTGAGAAAGAACAGTCTAAGTGGAATGAACGCAAGGAGTTGGGGAACTGATGACTATAACATCATGGTTGGAGACTGGGAAGAGATGACCAGAGTAAAACAAGAGGCTAGAAAGTCAGCGTGGGGCCAAGTCATGGAGGATCCACAGTGCCAGACCAAGGTGGTAGGACTTACTTCTGAAACCAATGGGGACACATTAAGGGTTGTTGAGGAAGCATGGGACCTTATATATCCAGGATGTTAGGAAGGCCTCAAAATAGAGGGCTTGAGCTAATGAATGGAATGTGGAGGGCAGGTAGAAAAGATATTACTGAAGTACAATGGTTAGAACTTAAAGATTGGATATAGAAGTAAGAGCTAAGGCGACTCCAAGCCTCCACTTCCTCTGCCTTCGTAGCATGGCACCTGAACTCCATCTGTGTTCCAGGGGCAGATGCTCAACAGGCCCTTGGAAATTCTGCTCTGCATGCCAGACAAGAGGAGTCAGGCCAAGAATGAACAAGAAGACAGGAAGAGAACCACAGTCCTCTCCCTGCCACCCACCTAA